TGAAACTAAGTGACCTTTTAAATACACATTGACAAGTTGTGGCTTTATGGCGCTTTAGTCACGGTCTGAAGTTAGTAACAGGTTTTTAGTCACGGGCTGAAGTTAGTTTTAAGTTAGTTGACAGTTGTCAAATGTCATACAATCGTTAAAATAAAGTGCCTTTCTTGTAAAATAATACTAAATGAGAAAATTATTGTATTATCTCAATACAAAAATACAAAATTATTAAATAGTTTCTCAACGCCAATATTTGAAAAGTTTATATGAAAATTGTACTGACCTTTATTTTTGCCGGCAGTAAACTATAACTTAAATTCGGGCACGGACTCCACTGTAAAGTCCTCATAAAAAATTTTCTTTACTTTCACTGTGAAAAACTGTCAATTTTCAAGAATTACATTTCGATTTATATCCTTTATAATCTGTGTTTATAAAATTTAAAAATGTGACATTTGACGGTGACACACAGTTTCCCTTGTTGTTTCATAGATGGCGCTCTATACAAATTTTTGATTTAAATCATTTTAAGATAATAATATGTATTTGTTATAGAAAAAGTATAGTATGCATCTCGTTTATAAACTTTTCTATACACTCATTAATTTAAGCACTCGCTCGCAGGCTAGCTCGTGCCTAAATTAAATTCCTGTATAAAATGGCGTTTATCAAACTTGATACATAATATACTATTATGTGTAAAACAATTTGTCTTTTTTACTTGGGTATTATCTAAATTAGGTACCTACTTGTTTTTAGTTAAAAAAAATTTTACCCCCACCTGTAAAAGGCCCACAGCTGTCAAATGCCCTTTTTGTGAAATAAAAATAACGTACTTTTTAACTTATTACTAACTAGTTATATGTTTTGTTTATTTATAGTCAAATTAAACTCTTGAAATAACCTTAATTTACCTATAGGTAAACTAGGTAGCTAGTTAAATATATGGTTTATTGGTAAATAAAGGTTATTTCAAGAGTTTAAATTGACTTTTTTACTATTTTAACAAATAATATTCTTCTCTGTGTTCGTCGTAGATAAAGTATAGTATGCAACTCGTTTTATAAACTTATCTAGACACTCGTTTTTATTAAACACTCTCTTGCAAGCTTCGCGCGTGCTTAATATATATTGGCGTTTATAAAACTTGATAAATAATATACTATTTAAACACATAACCTTTACCTAATTTAAAATAATATTTACATTTTTTATCGGTCAAATTCAATTAATTTCATAATATTGCCAACCTTGGTGGCGTTATTACATATTTGTGCAATCATATCAAAAAGTGGTAAATTTATCAAAATATGTGGCATTTTAAATACCATTGTGTTACGAAATTATATTATAAAATGCATATTATAAAGTAATTTATTATTTAATTACTTTATACTGTTATAAAAAATAAAAAACAGTTGTAATGGAATTAGCATTCCCACAATTGACTATTTATACCTTTCATTACTTCTTCCACATGTCGGTATCGATTCCCTTTCAACTCGAACACATCAAAACACAAGTCAAAACACACGCGAATCCATTGTACCTGCGTTTGTAATTGATACCACAAAAATCACCCTACAACTTGAGCTTGTATGCAACGCAGACTCGCGTGTTATGTAGTTCCGCCGGTGCATAGACGCAACAGAAACGGACTGGGGCGCATTATCGACAAGTTCTTGCTCCCCTTGAATCGAGCAGGTGTTTGTGTGCTGCTTAGAACTTTACGACTGGTAGAGGGGCCGCAGCGTACGCGAATCGCATCACAGTGACGCAGATTTTTATTCTAAAGCGGATTTTTATTCTAAGCTGGCAATTTTTATCCCGAACATTTAGCACTCAATTTTCATGTAAAATTGTCCCCTGAATCCGAAAATGTCGTCAAAAGTTATAAAAGTAGAACAGTTTTTGAGATATAGTCAATTTTCCATATAATATGGAATGGACTATATCTCAAAAACTAATTTTTGACCATTAGACTGGGCCAAAAAAAATCAAATTTTTTTTTTAAAAGTATATCGAAAATATGGTTTGGGGTTACAAAAAAAAATATTGTGAAAGTTTGAGTCCATAATATTATTATTAAGAGGTCTATCATCGCAATTTTAATTTTTTTTTTCCTCAGTAAGTTTTAGGCTCAGAACTTCCAAACCATTGAGTTTAACAAAATTGACTTAAAAATATTTTTTTAAGAAAATTAAATGCTCTAAAAAAAAGGTTAAAGTGAAATTTTCCGTCAGATGAACCGTTTCCTTAAAATCATGCCTTAAAAATTGGTATAGTTTTACATTTTGATCTTTTAAATTGGAATTTTGTAATTCATGTAAAAATCAGTACCCATAAACAACCGATAAATATTCTTATGGGAAATCAAATGCTTTACAAAAAAAGACTCTCAACATTTTTGGCTAAATTCACTCAATCAAAAGTTATTCAAGGTTAAAATTTCGTTTTGACTTCAAATTTAACCTTGAATAACGGAAAATTACAATCAAACCTTTTTTGTAGAACATTCAATTTTCTTCAAAAAATATTCTTAAGTCAATTTTGCTAAACTCAATGATTTAGGAGTTATGAGACAAAAACTCGCTCAGGAAAAAAAATCTAAAATTGCGATATTCCATATTGAGTCCATAATATTAATATTATGGACTCAAACTTTCACCATAATTTTTTTTTGTCCCCCCAAACAATATTTTCGATATACTTTCCAAAAAAAAAAATTGTCGATTTTTTTGGCCCAGACTATTAACCAAGGTATAAGTGAAAAATCAGCCACTATAACTAACTGTAGTAACTAGTAATTTTTGACCAATTCATTTTTCAAGTTTAATTTTAATAATAATTATATATAAATTATAATTTTTTTAAAATTTATACCGGGTGTTGCAAAATCTACCTTGTTGTAATGACTTAGTTCACAGCAAAAATTCAAAATTGTTTGCACATTTTTGAAATTTTTAATAATTTTGTCCTTCTAGATTTAAAACTTGGACCACTGTGCGTTAGTACTTCACTTTCACTGTTTCGTCTAGCGTCGCCTGTATGGAATTTTATTTACTTTTTGACTTGATTTTTGGTGTTTTGTTTGGGTCTTTCAGTGTTTCTGGTTTAGGTAATCGTTTAACTGGGATAAAGACACGTATTTTCTAGGAATTTTCTATTTGTTGTAATACCTTACCTTGAGGAAGCATTTATGTGGGGTTGGGGCTAAAATATTGTCTCATCACATTTCTCTGAAACAATCTTTATTTATATGTCACACATTTTATAGTCACACTTCCAATTGTTTGACATTTAGTCACTAACTCCGGAATATATTTTCTGAAAATACCGTGCTGGATATGGCAGTATGACGATAAATACTTAATTATAATGTCATACCATGTCATAACAGTTTTTGATACATTCACTTTCAAATTTAGTAACACATACAAAAAAATATACGTAACAAAATTATGCTTTTATTAATATACACCTACAAAAAAGTCAAAACCACAATTTTAATGCCCATTGGGAAATGATGGAAAAAATGATTAAAATTTAAGTTTTGTTTTATCCAATATAATACCTTACGTAAAGTAATGTCAAAAAATTTCGATAGAATAATATTAAAATAATATTTTTTTAAATGAAGTTTTTGATTATTTATTTAGTTTTTTGATAGATTATAAACAATTATTTAGTTTTGTTTATAAAAGTTTTTGTTCTTCTACACCCACACAAATTTTCGATAAATTTCAATCGCAAATAACTTTTTTATTTGATGTCGGATTTAAACGAATATTAAAGAATATTGTAGATAAATTAATGAACAATCGCTCACATTTTAAAAAATTACTAAAAAATAGACGTACGTTTATAATACACAAATTTTCGATGAATTTCAATCGCAAATAACTTTTTTATTTGATTTCGGATTTAAACATATATTAAAGAATATTGTAGATACATTAATGGAGAATCGCTCACATTTTAAAAGTTACTAAAAAATACACGTACCTTTATAATATACAGGTTTAAACAAAAATATGTTTTTTACCATAAGTTTAAGACACTCTGGCAACATCAGTCGGAGACATATCCATTTTTTAAAGTAAGAAGACACCTCAAAATTTAAACATTCGTTTGCAAAAAACAATTTGATAGCTTTTGAAAGCCGTGTATGTGGAAAATATGGATTTTTTTAAAAAACATTGCAATTTCCAATATTTTTCTGTATGAAGAACTAAGGTTGCTATGGTCCATCCATAGGCTATGGAGAATGACAGTGACAGTTTTGTTGAATCATCCCATACTTGGACATGTCATACACTGTATGACATGTCCAAGTATGGGATGATTCAACAAAACTGTCACTGTCATTCTCCATAGCCTATGGATGGACCATAGCAACCTTAGTTCTTCATACAGAAAAATATTGGAAATTGCAATGTTTTTTAAAAAAATCCATATTTTCCACAAGAACAAATATATCGAGGTGAACCAAAAACAAAACTGTTAAGAATAGACGTGACTTGATAATTAAAACTTAATTTAGAACAATATACGGTTTTGCCACTGTCTTAAACTTATGGTAAAAAACATCTTTTTATTTAAACCTGTATATTATAAACATACGTGTATTTTTTAGTAATTTTTAAAATGTGAGCGATTCTCCATTAATGTATCTACAATATTCTTTAATATTTGTTTAAATCCAAAATCAAATAAAAAAGTTATTTACGATCGAAAATTTGTGTGGATCGATTATTTTGCCTGTGAGTGTATACATATGTATGAAAAAAGTTTCCATGAACATGTTTGCTTCTTTTTCGAATGAAAAAAAATAAATAATAAATACATTTTTTTTGAAATATAAACATATGATTTCACTAAAAATTATGATAAACAACATAACTATCTACTATTATCAAGCAGTCATAGAACGTGACAATTACTACCTGTTTTTTGATCGATAATTACTAAAGCCATAAATACTAAAATTGATACCTACTTACAATGTCTAAACACTATACATATCTCCGTAAAATTCCATTTGGTGTCGTAAGTCAAAATGTCATAAATTACAAGTCATGACAAATGCACTCGCGCTAGCTCCAAAACCGAAAACAAACACAATGACAAAGATGATGAAATTTTTTCTTTTCCTACTTTGCATCGACATAAAATTGTTATCATTAAAAATTACGCGTTTTATGTGTGTGGGTTCTCAACGCGATATTTGTTTTGCTAGTGCATGAGGTTTTGCGCAAAATATTTTTAACATGATAAGAGTAGATGAAATACAATATACATATATATTTTAGAGTTGCGCCACATTTTTTTTAATTAATAATTAAACTAATAATTTATGATACCCAAGTTAAAAAATAAATTGTTTTTTTATTAATTATTATTTTATTTACCAACTGAACCTCCGAATAGAAATTTGCTGAATGCTGTGGCCCATTGTATTTATAATATTAGTTTAATTAAAGCTTTTGCAATAGTTGATATTTTAGAGTTAATTGTTTTAATTATAGGTTAATGCTTATTATTTCTCTTTTAAAATGCGGAACACGTCATTATAATTTAATAATGGTTTATACATTTAAGCCTTATGTGCCATCTATGTCTAATACTAATACTAATGAGTAAATTATGAAAGTTAATACATTTAAAAAGTGTAAGTAATTGAGTAACAATTTCCTGAGTTTAATAGATCGGATTTTGGTGTAATTTAATTTTAAGAAAGCCTAATTAATGAAATGTTGCAGAGATTATAAAAATTAATTATTCAAAAATGACTAATTGACATATCGAAAAAAACAGCCTCTAATTTGTATACCGAACATTTAGCAGTCAAATTGTTGTTGCAGAGATTATAAAAATTAATTATTCAAAAATGACTAATTGACATATCGAAAAAAACAGCCTCTAATTTGTATACCGAACATTTAGCAGTCAATTTCCATGTAAAATTGTCCCCTGAATCCGAAAGTGTCGCCAAAAGTTTATCTCAAAAACTGATCTACTTTCATAATTTTTGACGGTATTTTTAGATTAGGGGGACAGTTTTACAGAATTGGCTGTTAAATGTTGGGGATACCATGGTATCCTATGGTTAACCATGGTATAAGTAAAAAAGCCATTAATAACTTTAGTAACCATCATTTTTGATTAATTCATTTTTAGAGAATATTTGGATGAAAGTACCTACATGTTTTTTTTAAATATTAATACGTACATAAAAACCTCATTATTGCTCAAAAAAATAATTTTATTTTTACAAAGTTGGTCATAGTTTTTTTTAAATTTTAATTTAAAACAATATACTCCTAAATTTCCCACATTATTCTAATTCTCACGGTAGCCCCAAATCCTAATCCACCATTGATCAACGTTAGGTAAACCTTTTAAAAGTAGATTGCCTTATACTAAGTATTACACTAAATAAAATCTAAAATAGGTCCACTGACATGTATACATATATATTAGGGTGTCCCTTATTTTTATTTTTTTTACGCATACCCTCTAATTATATTTATTACTTGTTTATATACTCCCAGTAAAAATTTCAGCTCATTCTATAAACGGGAACCCGTGCCGACTTGCATCTGAACCCTCCGTTAGCCAACCTTAGGCGCGCGCGGTATTTTGTAATACGAAACACTTTAAAAAGAAGATATACTTCATGACAGTATTTTTCTAATGATTTTATTAAATATGATTACTAATTAATATTATTGCTTTTGTTTCTATCATTTGTTTTACTAATTTAGTTGATTTTATCCCTTAAATATATTATTATACTAATTAGTATTGCTAAAATATACTGTTATATGAAATTTCAGCTTTTTATAATAATTTCTTTTCTTGATGTCCTCCCAAAAATATTTCAGACAGTTCAATAAGTTTTCGGTAGTCATCTCTCACAATAGACTATTTTAGTTATTTAGAGTAAAACCCATTAAGTTTATCAATTTCAGAGTTTACGGCAATTCAACAGACCCCTGCGGGTAACTAGCCACTCCCTGTGAAAATATACATTTTTATCAAAGTATACACATAAATAAAACTATATTTTAACATTTGTCAATAATTTATAATATAAAGGTCACATAATAACAAACACAAAATGACTTCGCGACCAACCGTGTTACAAAATACCGCGCGCCTAACGTTGGCTAACGGATGGTTCAGATGCAAGTCGGCACGGGTTCCCGTTTATAGAATGAGCTGAAATTTTTACTGGGAGTATATAAACACGTAATAAATATAATTAGAGGGTATGCGTAAAAAAAATAAAAATAAGGGACACCCTAATATATATGTATATAGGTAAAATTTTACGTATTTATCAAAGCTGTCTACAGCGCACAGTGGTCTGAGAGGTAAATTTACGCGGCAAAAATTATTCTTTAAATATTTTTCCCAAGACGTGTGTTTTTTATGTTTTTAAGGGTGCTAAAATTACTTCTTATATAATTTTTTTTTCAAAAATATTTTGTATTGAGGGGGCTAAGTCTAGCTAAATGATATAAAATTAATTTTTTTAATATTTGTGTATTTTTTGTTTTTTTGTTTTATATTTAATAATTTATTTATTAAATAAATAAATGTTTATAGTTCGTACCAGGGGGCGAACACACATTTTACATTTCACCACATTTCTTTTTAACAACCCTTTAGCCAATATCGTGATGGTTGACATTATGCGTTAAATACTCTTGCTTGTACTACCCTCTTAAAGCACTTTGCTGTTTTTTTATTTTCTGAGCACCCTGGACATTTAATTAAAAATGTTTGTTAGCAATCTCATTTTTAAACACAAGCAGAAGTTTTTATGAAAAATGATTTTTTGCGATTCCGTTACGAATATCTTACCACATTTCTCTCTTATTTTGATATATAATTTTTTTAAAATTTCTGAGCACCCTGTATATATAATTCATCTTTTTATGAAAGTCTTAATTTTTAACCATAAAATATTTTAAAAAAAAATTCATTTTTCCACAAAACGCACTTTTAGTTTTTTAGGTTTTTTTAGTTTCTGAGCACCCTGTACATTTAATTCAAAATGCTTGTGTATAGAAATCTTATTTTTGAAACAAGCAAGAGTTTTTAAATAACATGTTTTTTTCGTATCATACCTATAGGTATATATGTTTATTATAATAAAAAAGTTTTTTCTATTGTCATTACCATCCGTGGGCACACTATATAATATACAAAGTATATTAAAAAATTAATATTATGTAATAGGAGTAAATAAAATTGTATTACCATTCTTAAATGCAATAATTATTGTCAAATTTAAAAAATATATTACTTTTATGACCAGGTTAGCGGTAATTTGTCGGCCATTTTTAATTTTTGAAAACATTTTGAAGTTGTATTTGTTCTCAACTTTATCCCTACTATAAATTTTTGACACTAATTTTCACTACTATATTTAGGCAACACCTTTTTTACACGAAAAAGACAAGATTCCGAAAGTAAGAGTATTTTTGAAAATCTTTGTTATAACGCATACGCAGTAAATTCTACTTCGCAGTTTAAAATCTTAGGTAATAATCTGTCACGAACAATAAAGAGGCATCAAAATGCGTTAATAAAGTGTTTTAAAAATTGGACTTTTGCCGCGTAAATTTGCCTCGCAGACCACTGTGCATCGTTCCGATTCTTTTAGTACAACCTGTATATTAGAGGTTGTTGATTGTGATGTAACATCAACATTACAATGTTGAAGTATACTTTCGGCCAGCGATTCCAAGCACATTGGGATAAAAAATTTACTTAAACCGGTTTTATTTTAAAAGTAAAATTGTATGTAAAATTCGCAAAACAAAAAATATGACTTTTTTTAATTTTTGATAATTAAAACCCAAACATATGCTTACAAAGTGTGTGAAAGTATAAAAATATTGTACTATGAAAGCTACAAAATTACAGAATTTGAAAAAAATAATTTTAATCCCTGCGCATCCGCCATTTTTGAAACTTTTATAAAATAATTGCAAATGATAAAATAATATTCTTAAATTAATTTATTATTATTACAAATGTTTTTTCTCAATTTTTTTATTAGTGAAAAATAATAACAATATTGCCAAGCTAACCAAAATCTGAAAAAAAAATAATTTTAGTAAACCATTCTTCGTCCCACAGTGCACCGAATGCATTCAGTTCTTTTATTCGTCGAGGAATGTCTTTGGTGTATGACCAAATTAAAACTGAAAGTGGCATTGACATACTTACATCTACTTGCCATTGCTATTGGATTTTGCTCAATTTAAATTTAGTATTAAACCATGAATAAATTAAGATTTTATATCGTTTACAAAATTTATTAACTTTTGGGCAACATTTGCTAGACAAAGATTCATATGGATACTGCGTTTGACTGATTGTAAGGTTATTCACGAAATAGAAAAAACTAAAAAAACTAAAAATTTTACCTTTTTTTTAATGTTTTTGAACTTCCTTCCCATCTTTGCTCACTTCACTCATAAAACAAATCACAAACATTAAAACTTCATTTGTTCTTTCGACAGTAACTCATGATTGCTGACACTGATGTCATTAGTCTTAGTAGGAATTTCATGGATTTGGATTTGTTAATGTTTAATAACAAGAAGATAAATATGGAAAAACCAGTAATAAGCATCATTTTTGCTTAAATCGATTAATTATTACTATCTATATTTAAATGTTTAATAATAGTAATAATAATCTTTATTTAGTCCAAAATGCAATATGTGTCACAAAAATAAACAAGGAATAAACTAATATAAAGTTACATGCACAGCATAAATTAAATGGAATAGGTAACAATAAAAATATATAGTATATAAAAAAAATGTCCACGAAATAACCACATAAGTACCACAGGAAAATCAAAATTGTCGTCCTTTAAAAACTCATCTATTGAATAATATTCTTTAAAGTCCTTTTTAATGTTTTTTCAGGAAGATCTCTTATTTCCAACGGAATTCTATTGTAAATTCTTATCACAGAGTATGAAACATTTTTTTGTAATTTAATTTATCCCAGTTTAAATTGTTTAAACCAAATTTACCCTTACCCTTAAAACGCTAAATAAGAATAATAAT